ATCTAGAAAATATTTTTTTTTTTTGTTTATGTGACTACGGGCTTATGTGGAGTGAATTAATTGTTGTCCACCGCTTTAGGACGTGAGTGAGTTAGCTTCAGTACATTTGTGAATATGTTAATCTCTTGTGTTACCTTGATTAGGATGTCAAGTCATGGACGTGGTGGTGGTAGGCGTGGCAGGACTACGCAGCAAGAGGTGTCATTTCCGGATAATATTCTGACGCAGGAAGAAGGGGTTAGTTAGGCCAATGTGGCCAAACCGGTTGGTCAACAGGCTATGGGTGCTTTAGTCCGTGAAATGGCCAGAGCCTTGAAGGAATCTATGGACATTCTTAGAGTTGAGAATCAAGTCCATGCCCATGTTGCTGAGATAGGGCCGTTGTTTCTGAAGAGGGAGTTATTCTAGTCGAGTTCGAATGAGTTTTTGGGGTATCTTAAGAAGCCACTAAAAGTGGATGAGTGGTTAGAGCAGATGGTGAAGACATTCGAGATGCTTAGCATTGAGGACGATGGGTTGAGAGTGACCTTGGCATCCTTCTAGCTAAAGGGAGATGCAGGTCATTGGTGGAAGTTTGTGTAGAGGGGCATGGGGAGGGACTTGGAAGGCTTTTGTCAATGCCTTCCAGGACAAGTTTTTGCCTCCCACTGTTACGGAAAAGTTGAGGGAGCAATTTTTAAAGCTCAAGCAGCTTAACACGCTGGTGGCCGAGTTTGAGGCTACTTTTACTAGTTTGTCGAGGTTTGCACCAGAGCTTGTAGTGATGGAAGAACGCCGTTGCTTGGAGTTTAAAAAGAGGTTGCGGACCGGACTCCTTGTTAAGGTGGTCACGTCCATGATTAGGGATTACGGTCATCTTGTGGAGGTAGGGGCTCGCTTAGAGACCGTGATTCAAACAGAGGATGATAGGACGAGAGGCTCCAAGCAAAGAAGTTAGAAGGTTCAGGGGAAGACTCGGGATATTAAGAGGCAGAGGGGTTCTAACCCACAAAAATACTAGAGAGCACAGTCTAGGTCCACTTTTCCGGTACCGAGGTTCTAAGGGAAGTGGCCAGGGAGGGATCACTTGCTTCAAGTGTGGTCAGCTGGGCCACAAGTCTACAGTTTGCTTGCAGAAGGGAAAATGGCAACAGTCTGCACCATCTTTGACTTATTTTCAGAGCCAGAGTCAGGGAGAGGGTAGCCGCCTACCTGTTATCAGTGTGGGCAATCAGGGCACCTAAGAAGGTTTTGCCCTCAAGCAGGTGGCAAATCTAGTGTGCCTAGTTCGAGGCAGACACAGAGCCATCAGCCTATATCGTTAGCTCGAGCGTCGAAGGCGAAACAAGGAGCCTCTTCAGCTCAATCAATGTATCAAACTTAGGCTCCTAGGGGTGAGCAGGTAGACTAGAGACCTACAGCGCGTGTGTATGCTGTTACCACGCCAGATTTGTTGCCAGCACCTCCTGTAGTGAGAGGTAACTTCTTGTTATGTAATTCTATTGCTAACGTGTTGATTGATACTGGTACATCACATTCTTTCATTTCATCTGCATTCGCATCAGCATTGGGGTTAGAAGTGGCTCAGTTAGAATCTCCACACAAGGTAGAGTCACCTATTAGTGGTGAGGTTGTGTTGGACCAGGGGTGTCGAGGTTGTGAGCTAGAGATTGCCAGTCACCAACTTCCTTTTTCTTTTGTGTTGATTGACATGTCGAGTATTAATGTCATTCTGGACATGGATTGGTTGTTGTCCTATCGGGCTATTAAAGACTATTACTGTCAAAGAGTTACGGTGTGCACCTCAAGTGGTGATTGTTTTTATTTCCTAGGAGACCACGTTGATAGAGCCTTGTTGCTAGTGCATGATCTGCGTGGTCAGGGCGAGCTTAGTCTCCTTTCTGCTACCTTTTTGGATGGTGAGAGTGATGTAGTCCGAGTAGAGTTGCCGAGGGTAGTTTGTGAATACCTGGACTTTTTTCCCGAGGATCTCACTAGTTTACCACATCACCGTGAGATTGAGTTCTCTATTGATTTAATGCCTGGCACGACACCAATTTCTATGGCATCGTATAGATTTGCACCCGCCGAGTTGAGTGAGTTGAAGATTCAACTCTAAGAATTGTTAGATAAGGGCTTTATCTTCCCTAGTACTTCGCCTTGGGGAGCACCGACTCTCTTTGCCAAGAAGAAGGATGGCACATTGCGACTTTGTATTGATTACCAGACCGGGTAACTTTTAAGAACAAGTACCCATTGCCTCATATAGATGACTTGTTTAACCAATTGAAGGGGTCTTGTTGCTTTTTTAAGATAAACTTGAGATCGGGTTATCACCAGCTGAGAGTGAAAGAGGAGGATATCCAAACAACGGCATTTCGTACGCGGTATGGCCATTATGAGCTCCTAGTGATGCCTTTTGGGTTAACCAATGCACCGGCTTTGTTTATGGATTTGATTAATCGAATCTTTCATGAGTTCCTAGACCGTTTTGTGGTTATCTTCGTTGACGATATTTTGATCTACTCATTTTCTGAGGAGGAACACGAGGAACACTTGCGAGTGGTGCTTGAGTTACTTAGAGCCCACAAATTGTATGTTAAGTTCGAGAAGTGTGAGTTCTAGTTGAAGGAAGTAAAATTCTTAGGCCATGTGGTGTCCGAGGAAAGGGTGACTGTAGATTCCTCTAAGATAGAGGCAGTGCAAGATTGAGAACAACCTAAGAATGCCTTTGAGAGCTGGAGTTTCTTGGGGCTAGCTGGGTATTACCGTCGTTTTGTAAAGGATTTCTCTAGATTAGTCTCACCGTTGACTAAACTGACAAGGAAGGGAATCAAATTTGTGTGAAGTGAGACTTGTGAGAAATCATTTCAAGAGCTTAAGGTTACCACTACTCCAGTGTTGATTATTCCACAGAGGGGTTTGGGCTATTCAGTGTATTGTGATGTGTTTCAGGAAGGTATGGGTTGTGTCTTGATGCAAGAGGGGAAGGTAGTAACATATGGCTCATGACAATTGAAAACACACGAGAGAAACAATCCTACTCATGACTTAGAGCTAGTAGCAGTGATCTTTGCCTTTAAGATTTAAAGACATTACTTGTATAGTGAGAGGTTTGAGGTATTCTTCGATCACAATAGTTTGAATTATCTATTTTCACAGAAAGATTTAAATCTGAGGCAGAGAAGGTGGATGGAGTTTACGGAGGATTACGACTTCGGGTTGCATTATCATCCAGGGAAGGCCAACGTAGTGGCCGATGACTTGGGTAGAAAATCCATTAGCAATGTAGCTAGTATTGTCATCTGGGAATGGGAGATGTTGGGCACTATTGGCGAGTTTGACTTGCATCTTGGTGAGTCTGTTAAGTCGGAAACTTTGTTTACCATAGTTGCACAACCTATACTTGTGAGTCGAGTCATGGAAACATAGCGGGGTGATCATGAGGTAGAATCCATCCGGGAGAAGATATCTAGAGGTAAGGTAGAGAATGGCTTGAACGTGTATTCTGACTCGAGTGTTAGATACATTGACTGTCTTTTCGTACCAGAATCTTGTAGGAAGGAGATACTCCGAGAGTTCTGTCATTCATGCCTTGTTGTACATCCAGGAGGCACAAAGATGTACCACGACCTTAGCCATCAATTTTGGTGGAAAGGGATGAAGAGAGACGTAGCCTTATTTGTATCGAGATTATAATACTTTTTGTGTTGTTATTGCATTTTGCTACCCCCTTGTCGTCTTTAACTATTTTGATATCAAAATGCCTGCTTTGTGCCTCAAATGTCCAAATTTGTGTTTGTAATGATTACAAGGTTCATTGCCCTTTCATTCTTGTGGTTGTTTATTTCTTGCCCTGTACTGCGTTATACTATTTTCTTTTTTCATGATAGCCATAAGAAATCTTTATATTGTTGTTATTATTGTTATGATAACGAGTTACTTTCACTTTCATCTCCTAAACGATTGTCAACTTTTTTTTACAATTTAATCCCTAAACTATGAATTTCTTTTGTTTAGTTTCTTGAATTTCTAATTTCAGCTGATGTAGTCAAATGAGAGTATGAAATGATAAGGACCATTTGTTTTGAATGCTGAATCATTTTCTGTCCATTTATAGTCGTTGGAGCTTGTTGGGGGAGCACACAAGGCTTCTCCCAGCTACTTTTACCAATTCTTAGCTCATATCGAACTCAAGTTTTCCGCTGTTACTCAAATTTGGCACATTGTCTCAAAGTTTAGTATTCAAGGCCTCCTCCAACCAAGATGAATTTTGGATTTCTCGAGTGAAAACTTTTAAAATGCATACTATTTTGCGAGGGACATGCATTTGGCCTCTCAAAGTACACGTGTTAGAATTAAATATTCAATTTATGAATAATGGGGTTAAAATACGATCCGGATCTTCACTTGTTGTAAAATCAAAACATTTATTTTAACAAAAAAAGAAACAAACTTATTTTCTATTATACTTGTACAAAAGACGAGATTGACAGAATAACCCTGAATGCTTGCAAATAAATGTGTATCTATTTATGATCGAACGCAACACCAAGAGGAGTCAAACCCAGGACATTCAGATTTATAGTTCATTCTAAGGCAACTCAAAAAGGTCACTCCTAATCTGATCATCATAAACCCCGAATCTTGTTGTGTTCATTCTAAAACAAGTCATTTTATCACTGGGATATCAGTGCGGGTTCTATATAGATGAGAACTCATGCTTTGGACTCACAAAAGTCACTTTATCTGATCATCACATTGTGAATTGTGATGGGTTTTAGAAGGCGCCTAGAAGTTATGTTATGCCAATCAAGCCTTTTTAGAGGGCACTCTCCATTGCTTAATAACACATGGACCTCTTACTACAGCAACATATTTCCCAGCAATACTTTGACCATTACCACTTTCAAAATTGCTTCTGCAAGTAGTCGTGGCCACCGCCACTTGGGTCTAAGACCAGTTCATGACGAGAACTGTGCAACTTCTTGCAAGCTGAAAACCAATAATTAGAAAACAAAAGCTAAATGCACACTTTCCATTGATATCGTTAATCAGATTTTTTCAGAAGCTATATTTCTGCATCACAAACTATAAGCAGAAGCTTAATCAAATACTCTAGCATCGTTTCCCAAAATAACAAAAAAAAAAACCATAAGTTGCACCAAACAGGGCTTTATTAATACTAGGAAAGCAGTTTGTATATTTCCAGTATAACATAGGCTTATATATACAGACATGTTCCGCCATTTATTACATCCTGGTAGAGTTTCTGCCATTGTTCAATATATTACATTACCTCATGGTTCTTGCTTTGGCTCCTTATGCATGAATGACTTGAAAGCATTGGTCAAAGCAGATCCTGATATCAAAGAAGCCACCAATAGACGCAAAACCTGCAATTTTGGATGTATTTGCAAGTTAGTGAAATGGGACTACTAGAGTCAAGAAATTGAAACAGTAAGTATAGCAACACCAAAAAATCTGAGACAACGATGAATGCTGTTCTTCTAGAACTTTTGTGTGAGAATTTATTGAGTGAATTATTTTTTATAAATTGAATTTATAAACATATCTTGGGTAACATATAATAATGGGCAAATTTGACTTTTCTTTCCTATGGTTTGTCCCATGTGTGGATGACTCCTGTCATTTGGAAATAAGCAAATTAGCTCTCTATAGTTTGTGCACTAAAGTACATTGCTTTTCTATACAAGGTTTATGAGTTGGGAGTACCACATGCCTAGGTGGATAATTTTTTTCAGACACTAACAAAAAAAGTTCATTTTTTAGGACAAAGATACCTCTTATACATCTTTAAATGTACAACAAAATAAATGTCATTCTTCATTTTCCTCCCTCTCTCCACTCCCCTGCACCCCCTCTCCTTTCCCTCCCAAACCTGAGGCCCATGCCACCCTCAACCACCAGACAACCATTGTTGCACACCCACCTCTCTCACCCATTGCCCTTACACCTATGCTACACAAAATGAACCTCTCAGCCATAAACCCAGATGCCAACACCTATGCTACACGCCCAGCTCTCTCACCTAATCTCATAGCCCCAAATTTCGAAAGTCCCATAGCATAAAACTCGCACTCTTTCAAAAGTTGAATCTTGGAACATAAATAAGTTAAGAGACCTTGGAATTAGGGATGGGTTAGTTGGGCACACATAATCATACCCCTACCTTTCATCATTGTCAATATATTCCATATTTTGTTAATTTTTGTGGTGATCATCATTCAATTCTACAGCTTAGAGAGGATAGAGAACACCTCCAATTTTTCAAAGGGAACAAAGCACCCTTGACACTTGTTCTACATTGTTAATCCATGAGGTTACAACTTATGCAGGATGAGAGCTACACCATGATCTGCCCACCACCGATGACAACCCTCCATCAATATCGTTGACCACCACTCTATCTCTTGAGCCTCTTATCCTCTATATGTGATTGACAACAGTAGCATTGGCTAATGTGCTTTGTTTAGTATTTTTAATTTTCTTTAGGATTCTAGAGCATTGGCTAATGTGCTTAATTTGTTGTCTAGCATTTTTTTTGATATTGTAGAGCATTGGTGGCTGTTCGTTGTATGTCTTTATGTGTTTTTGTGTTGAAATAGGACTTAGACTTTGGTGTTTGTTTAAAATCTTAGACTTTGGTGTAGCACTTTACTCTTCACAGCTTCGTTTTTTAAAATCAAAATGTCGGTTTTTTCGAATATTTTATGTAATAATTACTTACGAATGGTTTTCAAAATGCATTTTAAATTTTTTTACCTGGTATAATTTGAAAAGTTGTATATACTACTGAATAGCATAAATTTTTTTTTCCTGATTTATTTTTTACTTAGGCTTTGTTGGGAGTGCCTAAAGGCACTAGTTATCCCTGAGTGTATATATTTTGGTTTAAGGGAAGACAGTGAGAGTACTTGGATAAATTTACATTTATCATTGACGAAAGTAATGGTACACTTTGGTCTACAAACCACAGCAGCCTAGATGCTTATTTCCAGATGACAATGGGTCATCTGAGTTTAGTCACCAATTGCCTCAAAAGTTTTAAGTTGTTAAGAAATTGGCCCAACAATTTACATTAAGCTATTCAACACCCCCCTTCACATGCAACCCCATCTTGCACGTGGAGATGCAAACATCCATTCATTGAGAGAAAAGAGAATGAAAATGGAGAAACTAGAACCCAAGACCTACCAACCTGAGCTTGACACCATGTTAAGTCAACAATTGCCCCAACAAAATATATCAAGCTATTCAAAAATCCGCACATGGGTTAAACCACATGGGGTAAGGTGAAATTTGTCCTATTATTTGACAGTTGAAGGACTTGTGGTGAACTTGTGGTGTAACCGTGCAAGCCAATGGATTCTAGTAGTAAGTAAGGGTAGTGCTAATTGCTCAAAATGCTTCAATAGAAATAACTTGACAATAGTTAAATTACCTCATCCTCACTCATGGTCACCTCCAATTCACCGACATCACTAAGGGGAACCTTTAACCTGTTGATGAGAGATATGCCTGAGATTGGAGATATAGGTTTTATGAGCAAATTGTCAGTCACCATGAACATGGATGGTCCTTTCATAAATCCACCGCTAAGCTGAGCTTCCCTGGGAGGGGACTCTGAACTCAACACAGAGCATCTTGTTGTAAATAGGGAACTAAGGGTTGATAATGATGGGTTTATAGCTTCCTCAATGCCAATTAGTTTGTTACTACAAGCAAGACCTTGGGCTAGTTTTGGATCAACTAGAATTGCCTTCATCTCCTTAGATTGGAAGAACTTGTCGTCAAAATCTTGGATACTCTTGTATATGTTATCCATGCATCCCTTGAAACGCAAACTTGGAAATTCTTTGAAGACATAACCAATTGGAAGTAGAAGTAAACTGCATAGAAGCTCAATGAAATTTTCTTCAACTTCTGCATACAATGCCCTTGTGCTAGATTTGTGGATGATAAGCTTCAAGTTTATCTTTGAATGTTTAGTTGTTGTGTCCATGTCACTTTGACGTTGATCTGTACTTCTTGGTCCATATTCTCCACGATGAATCACAACATTGGACTTACTGATAGGTGGTTCCACGAAAGTGTCAGAGAAGGGAGTTCTTGATGCTAATGAACAGTTTAGCAATTTCAGAACCTAAGAGAACGAGATGCACTGTAAAATGATACAAAAAAACATTGAATTTGTTTATATGGGTAAAAAGAGAATCAATTCATTAATTACCTCATCCTTTCCGATGTTCACGGTTCTCTCTTCTATTTTGCTCTCATCCATCGCTCCAAGTTTGCTAAGCAGAGATAAGCCAGTCATAGTGGACATTGGCAATACTTGAAAATCATCTGTTATCATAAAGCGTGCAGTTGGTTTTACAAACACTGGGCCATCTTCATGAGCCAGACTTAGAAGTCTTACCTCAAGTTCCAAGGGTTTTCCACAGCGACCACAAGCAGTTTCAGTATAGCTCACAAAACTGCAATTACCACTGCTGCACGCATAATATTTGCTGTTTTTACTTTCATTCAAATTTAGTTTTAGATTCCTACAGTAGATTTCAGCTGCACTTCGAGGATCAAGTATTATCTCCTTGAACTCACTTTTGAAATGTTCCTCATCAAGATTCTCTACACTTTCATATAGGTTTTTCAAGCAGCCAATCTCACCCTTCAATGAGCGCTCACGAGTGAGTCTAATGATTGTTCCAATAGGCATTGTCATGAAGCTGAATATAATGTCAACAAAATCCTTATTTGACTCCACAAAAACAACTCGGTTTTTCTCCTTCTCCACAAGGATATTAAAACTTATACTCTGAGAAGCTTTGCTCTCCATGATCATGAATGAAAATGACTCACTAACTTGAAGAAACAAGAAGTTTGCTAAACAACTTTTGGCTTTTCTCAGATCTATCCCTTGTATCAATCACTACAAAAGTTATTAATTGAAGAACAAGTCAAAAGCTATTCATCGCACCAATAGTAAATAAATGTACACAAGTTCGGAAATATAGAGAATTTTGGTAGGTTTGATGGACTACAATCTATGGTAAAGCTTCAATCCCAAAGTTAAAAGTAAACAAATGCTTATGCAATGACTGAACTGTGTTCCAAAACTAATAATTGACTACCAAATATAGCAATCATCATGATGGAAAATGGAAGTGCATATCTTTAATTATACCAATAATCCATAATCATAATTAACCAGTGCATATCTTAACCTGCAACTGGGCATGATTCCGGTCCAGACCACCCATGAAAACCGGTTCCCACAAAGAACTGGTTTATTTTCACAAAACCGTCCAAATGGAAGTGCATTTCTTTAATTATACCAATAATCCATAATCATAATTAACCAGTGCATATCTTAACCGGCAACCGGACTTTAGTCTAGTCCGGACCACCCATGAAACTCACTTCACACAAAGAACCAATTTATTTTCACAAAACCATCCAAACCAGCGGTTAGACCGGCCACCCATTCGAACCAGGCGCAGGTCACAACAACTGCCCCGGTTTGAGAATTTCATTGTTGGATGCATAAAACATGTTGGCAAGGGAACTTGAAAATGGAACCAATTGGATAGCAAGCTACTATTGTAACACAAAGCCAACATTCTAGTTGTTGACATTCAATACAATAAATATTATTTATTCAACATACATAAAAAGTTTGTTTTGGCAAAAAACTAAAACATAAAAAATGAAAAATAAATTCAAATAAATAACAAAATTAATTGAGATCTTAAATTGAGTAATATATTAGTTTTTCTTTCATTCTTTTTTTTGTATTTGGTGATGGATGTTTAAAAAAAAAGATAAGAAAGAATACTTAGGTTTTTATATGTATATTTGGAATAATTTTAAAATTATATTTTTTTTATTAATATACAAATTTAAATATATTTATGATGTCGCGGTCCAATCTGGTTTGACCCGACGGTTGAACCAATGATCCGTCCACCCAACTCCTTTTCCAGTTCGCTCACTGGTTCAGTTTTCAAAACATTGCTAGAAGGCATACCTATCCTCCTCTTCCCAAAGATGACGATCATATAATAAAAGGTGGAAAAAACTATATCAATGTTAAAATATTTTATATATATATATATATAAAAATTAAAACAAGTTTTAGACAATCATCACTAGTTCAAATCAATTTCTTATGTGTTAAAAATTATATATTATGTGCCAAATAATGGCTTCACCACAGGGTATTATATAAGGTCTACACCCTACAACATAACAACAGTGCTAATCTCAAATAGTATATATTGCAACCTTTAGCAACAGACCTTGCCCTGCCCTAGCGTCGCCACAAATGGATTGGTTGAATACAATGGTAGTAGACTTCTCCATTGCAAAAAAGCATTTGGACACCATGACACAGTGACACATGGCAAAAAGCGCCAATGACCCCCAACAAAATTATCATGCACTACAGGTTCAAACTCTACGCCATCACAATTGGTGCTTTTAACTTGATAGGATTGGTTTTGCTTATGAACAGATTAGGAAAGATTGAAGTGCAAAAGGGTTTATGGTATTTGTAAACCAACATATTAGTGGAACCAAAACATATTCGGACTTGCATAAATTCACTGTAAATTAAATCCAACCAATAACTTTCTAAACAAGAGCAAATAACATGCTCCAACATACCTGAGCAAACACAAACAACCACAAACAAATTTCTCAAGCTATGGAGTAATACCACAAGTATGAGTGCAGCCCATTATTCAACAATACAAAGGCTCTATATTGTTCAATATTGGCAAAGAGAAATAATTTTTGAAGAAGCTATAAATATATAATAGAACAATTATGGAGGTGTATAGAGAATAGATGGATAGGAAGTCTCCTACTTCCCAAATAGTGTGACTGACATAACCACCCTAATCTCCAAGATAGCAAGGATTTAAGTAATCAAATTTGTATCTCTCTACTACCAAAAGGTAATCAGGCCATGCCACCATGAATGCCCAAATTTGGGTCCAGCCTGACCAAATGTCCAATAGTATGGCCAAGGTTTATAAGGCTTATTCTAATTATTTGGAGTGTCAAACAACCCAAAATATTAGAGAAGGTAAGAAGAAAAGAATTGAAGGAAAAACAGAAAAACTAGCGAAAAGATAGGATGACAATAAAATGAGGGGAAAAAATTAACAAGCATGCATTTTTTATGAATAAATTGATGTTAGAAGTTGAAACCAAACCGCAACTATCCAAACCACTCTAGAAGGCGAGTTTGACAAAAGCATGAGCAAGTGGACCACAAATGGAATTGAATCCAAAAAAAAAAAAAACTTTATTGTAGGCAACGTGTAGATCCAACAACTTTGTTGTGCATTTCTTCCCACATCGCCAAGGTAGACAAAGAGGTAAAACCTTCCACAACTTTTGCAATCTCCATTTCTAATCTTAAACCACCAATCATTGAATGATTCAAGCAAATCCAGTCAAGGAAAACAAGACCACTACTAAACCATGGAAACACTTCACTTCGAACATACAATTTACTCCCCACAACCCCCATGCACAAGTAAATCCTTTTCATTGAATGTTAATGTCAAATTTTTCAAAGAAGAACAAAACTTCTTCAAGTCCCAATGTTGAAGGTTTTTCATGAAACCAGGATTCCGTTGCATCCTTCTCTTCCTTCAACCATAAAATTCCCATCTACAACCTCTTTATACATCACCAAGTAATACTATCACTAAACTGCTTCCTAAACTTTACTTTCATGCCATTCTCCATACAACCAAATCCCACTTTTCCCACTGCAATCTTTGGCCTTGTTTGTCATAACCTAAAAAAGTCAAAAAGTCACTATCCTATTTAAGTCACATCATCTTATTTAAGTCATATCACCTCTCTATCACATCACTTCAAACCCAACCCATACCTAACCCATATTTCATAAAAAGTCAAAAAGTGCACTTATTTAGATCATCCCAAACAACCCCTTAGGTCAAGTTTGGCATCCTCTAAAAAATCTAAAAAGTCAAAAAGTCACTATCCTATTTAAGTCACTATCCTATTTAAGTCACATCATCTTATTTAAGTCACATCACCTCTCTAACACATCACTTCAAACCCAATCCAAATCCAACCCATATTTCATAAAAAGTCAAAAAGTGCACTTATTTAGTCTTCCCAAACTTGGCCTTAGTTGTGTGGGAAGCATAAGCATACCCACCAACCAATTCAGATGACCCTCGGGGGCAATTGCTTTCTAATTCATTGGATAGAATTCAAACTCACTCCAATTCCCATGCAAAGTAGAAATAGCAACTTCTCCAACTATCTAGCAAACGCACCAAGTTGCAACTTCTTAATCAAATGTTCACTCCATTTAGAAAGGGATACTTGTGGCCTTTCTATGAACCAAAAACCCATTTGGATTGAGGGGTTTAGTGAAAAAAGAAAAGGAATTGTGAGAAAGACCACTCTCATCACTTTTTGGATGATTGAGGAGGTGAAAATTTATGAGAATTGTGAGAAAAAGAGCTCTCTTGAAACTTAGGTTTTGTTTCTCTCGCCAAATTTGGTGATATTTGGCAAGAAACAAAAGTTATTGTATAAATTTATTTTCAAAATACCTAAATTGGCCATCTATATACAAAAGATTAAAAATAAAATAACAAACATGTCCTCTTTTATTTATTGTTCATCCAAACACAATGGTAAAAAAACGATCCTTACCATTTCTTTTCTCACTTTGCTTACCAAAGACATTAAGACCAATTAACCTAAGCCCTTTTCTTACCAGGCAAGTCAAAGCCTTCTAGTTGTGGAAAATGTGTAGTTTAAGTGAGAAGAAAAACAAAGAATGAACAAAGAAATTAAAGACTAAGATTTTACCAAGAGCCTTCACATGTTCGTATGTCACACATACACTTATAAGAAATATTGGTGTACAAATATATATTTCACTACCCCCCACAGCATTACATGATCAGCACCAGTGGCAGAGCCACCACAGGTCCAAAAGGGGCACGTGCCACTCCTCAACTTTTCAATAATTACATTTTAGCCTAAGATTTTGAAACTATCAGTAAAAATATATGTATGTATTATTGATTGATATATTCATTCATATTCTGTCTATTACAAATGGTTCCTTATATAGATGTAGGTGTAGTGGATGGTGTGTAGTGGATGGTGATAGTGGTGTAGTGGGTTAGGTTTAGTGGAGTAGGTGAGGTGGTAGTGGTGTAGTGGGTTAGGTTTAGTGGAGTAGGTGAGGTGGTAGTGGTGGTAGGTGATGATAAATTCTAACACTATCTTTCATATATGCCCCCTAAATCTTTCCCATTCTTATTCCAATAAACACGACACACCATTGACTAGAATATAGACATAGTTAACTGCTAAAGACCGGAGCTTTTGCGACGGTCTCAAACGTTGCAAAATGTGCACATGCCGTCGCAATATACTTTTTGCGACGAAGTAGCAACAGGAAATGGGGGGTGGCGGAAGGGGGGCATGACAAAAGGTATTTGCAACGGTTACAAACCGTCACTTTCTTGTAGCGACGGCAAATTAATGGTTTTTGCAACGGTTAAACCCAACACAAAAAATGGGGAAAAATATCACTTTTAGTGACAGTTTAGGATGCCGTCACCAAAAACCTTTTTTAGAGACAGTAGTCGACGTCACTAAAAGTATTATTACCAATGGTCTAAAACGTCAAAAAAAAAAAGAGAATTAAATCAATGATGTATTAGCAACGGTTTATTATTGTCGCAAAAAAAAAATCATAAAATAAATATATATTTTATTAATTCATTATAGTTTTGTGACAATTTCTAGACATTGCAAAAAATAAAAGCATATATAATATATTACAATTATTTCCCTGTACAAATTATTAATATTTTCTAAAATAAAATATATCCACATTCACAATCACAAAATCATATATATATATATACGAATAATAATATATATATGTCCTATAACAATACAGTATCAACCAAACATTCATTACAAAAATATATAAAATATCCTTTAACAATGCTAATAATTTTTGATAATTCAAGAACTCGAATTTGTACTAAAACAAAATGAAAGTATCAATAGTACAAATCAAAAAAACACATATATATCATAGCTTGTTTTAGCATCTACAATAAATCCAATATCAATATGCGAAAATATCATCACATACTCAAAAAGGTAGCATCTGCAAAAAAGAAACAAAAAAATAATAATTATTTACAATATAGTTAAGAGCAATGCTACGTCGCTCGAAAACAGGCCCCCCGAATCCCCCTAAAGGCAAAAACGACGTCGTTTTTGCCTTTTTTTTTTTTTTTTTTTTTAAGAAGAAGGAGGAGGGAGGAGGAGAGGGAGGTGGAGGGACTGGAGGGGGAGGAGGAGGAGGAGGAGGGACTGGAGGGGGCCCAACAAATGGGGCTGGAGGCGGAGGCCGGGGGCGGAGGCGGCAGAGGCAGGGGCTGCGACGGCGGACCTGCGGAGGCGACAGCGGAGGCGAGGCTGCGACGATCTGGCGGAGGCAACGGCGAAGGCTGCGACGATCGGGCAGAGGGCTGCGACGGCTAAGACCTGCCTCCTCTTCCCCTCTCCTCTTCCCCTCTCTTTCTCTCCTCTGTGATTTCGGGGGATTCGGGGGAAAAAAATTAGGGGGACAAATCATTTTCCTATAGTTAATTTCAAGCTTACAAAAATTGCAAAACATTTGATATTTAATTCAAAAATAAATAAATAAATAAATAAGATTGTAACATATACATGAATCGAGCGCTACACAATGTATCTTCCAACAGCTTCTTCAATTGTTCTTAGACCTCAGGATGGTGTTTCCAACTGAGCATTAGGCTTTTAAGCTTTTAAGACAAAGACTTCGCAATATTCAGGCCCAATTGAAACTCTATCAATTCACACAATAAATTGTCACTAATAAGAAGTCTCTCTGCCAATTGGACTATTGGTATACGTGAACTATCCAAAGAAACTTTAATTACATCCTATAATGATGATAATTTTATTAAAGTCGGGTATCGATTAAACACATTTCTCTATAATCTAACAATAATTGAATAAACACAAAACAAAAAATCTAACCAAATAATTGTACTTAAACAGCGACACAACAGCCCCTAGTAATTCATGCTAGTAGACATCAAACAGATGTGACATTAACAACAAAAAGGCAATATAGGTGACATAAAACACAAAACAAATAATCAATGTGAAGAGGCTGAGTCCCGTTTTTTCGTACAAGTCATTTGCCTCTAGTTAATCATGTATGTCAAGTTTCGTTCACATCCAACGCCACTTGACCATTTTAGTGCATCAACCGACTCGAAAAAGAATTTCTAAAATACAAGTTTTCACAAACGGGAATTATGCTCTAGATTCAAAACAGAGAACCGATTTCGAATCCCATCTTTTCTTACAAGTCATTTGTGCCTAGTTAGTTGTGCGTGTCAAGTTTCGATCACATCCTACACCGTTTAACTATTTTAGTGCATCAGCCGGCTTGAAATTTTTTTTCTAAAGGACAAGTTTTCACAAATGGAAATTACTACAAGTTATTTGTGCCTAGTTAGTCATGTATGTCAAGTTTCATTGACATCCAACGCCGTTTGATCGTTTTAATGCCTTGACTGGCTCAAAAAAGAATTTCTAAGGGACATGTTTTCACAAACGGGAATTAGGATCTAGATTCAAAACCGGGAACCGATTTTAAGTCCCGTCTTTTCTTACAAGTCAATTGTGCCTAGTTAGTCATGTTTGTCAAGTTTCGTTCACATCCGACACTGTTTGACCATTTTAGTGCGCCAATGGACGACAAAATATCTCCGAGCATATGAAGTGTAAGTCTTTATGATTCAATGATAGCATAGTCATCATTGACAGTATTCCACTTCTGGGATTTAAGCAACCACTTTTTTTCGGGGCGACAATCTATATGATCCAATCACCAAATGTCTTTTGTCTATATAAGTAGCTCATATGCAAGCACTAAACACAACCATGTAAAATTTAAGGTGCAGGGCCTCACCTTTGCTTTGTAGGAAATGAAGACCTTCCTCTTACTTGCAAATGCTCAAAGAGGGACATATCCCAACAGGATCCGCATATTTCATTAGAATCACAAGCCTAATCTGAACATAGGAAATTGAATAACAATGTTACTGATTATTCACTTAATTTGGTGTTTTAGCAAACCAGTGGTATGAACCAGTCACGTTAGCAAAAACAAAACAAAAAAAATTTTAATTCATAATTGAAAAAGGAGAATTTTATGGCATGAACGCCACTTATGTAAAAGAACATGACAACTTGTGAACACAAAGAACCAAAAGCAATACAAACTCAGTCATAAAAGAATATAAGCTAAACCAAAAACCCATAATAAGCAATATAATGATTTGTTGATTAAAAGGATATAAATCAATGTTCCTTACCTTCATATCCACAACCAAGCCCTTTGAATCTCTCTCTCGCTCTCTATCTCACATTCCAAATTAAAATTCCAAGTTCATGGCTTGTATCACTATGTTGCATGCATATATATATACACACACACACACACACATATATATATATACACGTGACTTGAACATATAGAAGAAAAAAAAGACAAAAAGACAAACATTAGAAAATTGAATAGATATCTATACAGCAAGAAGAATGAAGAAAATCTACAGATTTTACCACTTGAGGATGATAAAACGTTTTTTTTTTTTTCATTTCGGAACCATCCTTCGAATAATGAAAATTTCCAATTCATTAATGCAAGACCAACAAGAAGAGAGTGGATGCTTATTTGTTTGTCCTCTGACACTGGAAAGTCTTTGTTAAAAGCAAAGGATAAACCCCTAGAAAGTCTTTTGGAATTTAAGAATTTCCTTCGTCCTTATAAATGCAAAACTCCATTGATTTATTGCTTCCATATCTGTAACATTTTTCATGTCGGTTTTCTCTCCATTGGTATCAGCTTCTTCCTTATAATTGACTCATGGGTATTTTTACATCATCCTTATAATATTTTCACAGATATGTAAGACTAATAAAATAGAATCACCATTGAGAAATCTACATATTTAATTGATGAATTATAAAAGAGCACTGTAACATTCTTCAATTCGATGGTTTTTATTTTTAAAATTTTTCCTTTTAAAATTTTTCCTTATATACTAGGAGACCTACTTGGTGGATTCAGCCCTTTATTTTCATAGTTCTTCGAGGCAATTACCCTATTTCATGAGCTCATTTCATTTCATTAACAACAAAAAGGCAATATAGGTGACATAACCCCCCAAACAACTATCAGATAATTTGAACAAACAATGAACACTTATATAAGAAAAGACAAAACAAACAACACACACTTACACATTGTTCTTACTTCAAAGAGTGAGGGAGTTCCAAAAGTGTGCTTCTGAATTGATTCCTAAAAGATTAGTATACCCAAAAATTACATTCAATTGCTATGGCAATCAGACCTTTGTCAAGAAAACTATCACATTCAATTGCTACTATACAAAGGTGAGTCAATGAATATAAACCCTGCCACAATGCAAAGCTAATCCAATCCCCACACCAAGTCAATCAAAGGACGTCATAGATGAATTCTCTAAGATCTCTTCTTCCTAATAAGATATGAGTATACATCTAAGAGTTCACCAAAGCAAGATTATCAACAATATATATATATATATATATTAACTATGATATTAAATTTTAATATGATACAGGCTTGGAGCACTAGAAGATCACTTACCATTCCTATCAACAGGATTTCCTCCTCCATGTCAGAACTGTTCTGCCACTCCCATCTTCAAACTATGATAAGTACAGCAAAGCGTGTCAAGAGATTGCTTGATATGAACACAAAAAGAGCCACTTCAACGACCAAAGGGGAGAATTTTGCAATTAACAGATAAACTATACTTCCCAAACAATGTTGGATGCAGCTGCAAGAGTAAACGGTACTAACTACCAAGAATAATGGGTGCCTTAATGAGTGGAAGTGTTTGTCATTAATTAATAAAAAAACATTTGTAAAGTAGCATAAAGGAACTCCTTTGTCTATAAGAAAAATTTCTATGCTTTCACACAAACATTTGATTAATAAAAATTCTTACCAAATTTCATCCGGTCAATATACATTTTCATTTAATGCTTGTAACCAACTTTATTTGGAATAGAGAGAAATTATAATTTACATTTACCCCATTACACTACCAAAGAAACCTATTCAATGTACAATTTCTCAACAATCAACAATATCAACACCTCCAAATTTTTTAACAAATACCTCAAGTTAATTCCATTTTCAGATTTTTGAAACCAAAAAGAAACCTAATCCATGCATGCACTACTTGCATATATCCAATTAGTAGTCATAAAAAATAATTAAATAGAATCTCACACACACTTACCTGCCCACCCTTACTTCTTCTAACTTTTTTGGCCATTTATCATTTATTAAAGTTGCTTGTGACAGATAAAATTGCTTCTTTAAAAAAAACAGAGGCAGACAATAAAAGTAATGATAGTGCAATTGTTCTTGAATGCATAACAAGTATTGGGTGCCAATGATGTTGGCATGGAGACCACAGACCACAGAGCTAAATTAATGTTTAATGAATGGTGTACAGTTTCTATGCATCTTTTTAAATTATTATTGGGCAATGACAATTGGCAGGTGCAATTCGCATTCCAATCCAAAAGAATGACAAAAGGCCAATTGAACATCAATCAAATATTTTTCCCTAGAAGAAGAAAAAAAAAGTCCAGCGATGAATTTAAATATCAAAATCCAAAAACCCAGAAAAATATAAATGTTTTTGTATCACCAAAAAACCAATTGAACATGAATCAAATATTTTCCTTAGAAAAAAAAAATCCAGCCACGAATTTAAATATAAAATAAAACCCAAAAACCCAGAAAAATATTAATGTTTTTGTATCACCAAAAAGCCAATTGAACATAAATCAAATATTTTTCCTTAGAAAAAAACAAAAACAAAAAAAATCAAAAACAAAAAAGACCAGCCATCTTAAAGTGGAATAAGTTGAAGAAAAATTGAGCCTTTAGGAGTAAAAATCTTCTTCTCTAGAAACAATCTTCCATCAAACAAAACAAAACAAAACCCAGAGAAAAAAAAATCCACAGTAAAAGACTGAGGCACATATGATTGAAACAGTAATGGTGTCATACCGAGAAAAGGGAAGGAGAGGCGTGGCTGTCAACACAAAGATGCTGAAGAGAGCTCCTCCGTGATTTGCAGCGAATGGAAGTAGGGGAGCTTTTTTTGGACTCAATCTGTTGGATTTAACAAGATAAAAGTAGAGCTGCCATCTCACACTTCTATTGCATACACACACATACATATATATATATATATATATATTGCCGAAAAATAAAATAAAAATCTTTATATTTTACAAATAAGAAAATCAAATAGATAACTATAATAAAACAATAAAAGGGTTTCGATTGAACATGGAAAAAGGGACAAACAGATCAGATATACATGTATGGACATATGTAGATTTATATGTGTGTATATATATATATATATAGAGAGAGAGAGAGAGAGAGAGAGAGAGTAAAACCTGGTTATCAAAAAGAAGGCAGCGGTGGATTATCTCAAGGATCGAATATACAGAGAAAAGGGGGGATTTAGAGAGAGAGAGAGGAGAAGGGGAAGAAGAAGAAGCAATCATAGTAGTCGATCGGCAACCCTTCTCAGGCTGTCTGGTCTGGTCTGGTCTGGTCTGGATTAGAAGCAAGCCCTTTTGTGCCTTTGATTGGAAGCCAAAGAACTGCTGAAGAGTTGGGCTTTTTGATTGTTTCTTTTTTTCTTTTTTTTTTATAGTAATTTGGAGATAAAAATAATAATAAATGGAGAGATATTTATTTTTTTATTTGTTTGAATAATTTAAGTGGAGAGAAATTAAAAAAAATAGGTTATAATCCTCATTTTCAATCTTTCTAAGAATGGAGAGATTGAGAAAGAAAATAAATCAACAAATTCTTATATTTTTATAATACTAATTTTGTTCATATAAAAATAAATAAAATAAAACAAATGACACAATATCCTCAAGTGCTTTTCATATCCAGCACAATGTTTTTGACTCTCTACTTCTCCAACTCTTTCTCCGCTGTGCTTTTCATATCCAGCACAATGTTTTTGACTCTCTACTTCCCCAGCTCTTTCTCCGCTTTCTTCTAGCTCTTCTTTGTCATACATGTAATCATGCTTCCGGTTTTCATTCTTTGATCCTATCATGTATATATGAAATATATATATATTATTACGCATAAGAAAAACTATTCTTAATAATATATATACTATTCTGCATAAGAACAAAATATATATATTCTGTTATGTATAAGAAAGAAAAGCAAGTCTTAATTTTGTTGTTCAAACTCTATATGTGTACATGTATATATATATATTAAATTATATTATATGTATATATACCATTTATCATTCAAGAAATTTGAGAATATATATATATTATGTTATGTATATATACTAGTGTATATCCGTGCCTAAAGACACGGTGTAAATAATATTGGTACACATATTTTACAAAAATCAATTAACATAAATTATTAATATTGGTATCACATCTTTTAAAAAAAAATCAATTCAAAATAATAATAATTTCACAGCTACATAAATAAATTATCGTAAATCAATTCAAGATGACAATAATTTCACTGCAATATAAAACTCCACACATAAGACGGCAGCACCACTGCCGGCCATGACTTTAGCAGTACGATGGCGGTTCGTTTAAGTTAAAATGTAATTTATCAAATTCATTGCTAAAAGTTTAAGTTAAAAAATTAATTCATATTTGAAATTTTTATAAAATTTCACCATCTAAAAAAAGTATAGAATTTAAAATAGTGACTAATACAGTATTGAATAAAGGTATGTTAACACATTTTTAAAATTTTAAAATGTAATTGAAAAATATATATATATATATATGTAATGTATTTAAACAATGTCGCCTCAAACATTATTTTGAATAGTATGTATTTAAAAAACAAAATAAATTAAAATAATATCGAATTCATAATCATTTTATATTTTTTTCTGATATATGTCATATCTAATTATAGGAAAATTCAACAATCTTGCTAAACATAATTATTTTAACCTACTAAACTAACCAAAAATTAAAATAACTTACTAAATTAACCAACCTCCCATACACTTTCTATAATTCTGCGTGGCTTTATTATTTTTTTTAGAGACCACACACCTATTGCTAATTACACTCATATTTTCAATTATTTATTGTGTCTCGAACTAGTCTCTTTTTCTAGCCCACTCTCTCTTTTTAATTAGAGACTACGCGTATTTTTAATATAAATAAACAAAAAATATGTTAAAAAAAACTCTATAATTATTTATTTAAATTAAAAAAACACTCTTTTTATTTTTAGTGCTTGTTTGGGTTAACCTAAGAAAATGTAGGTTGCGTTTGGTAGAGTTTTGTAAATATGATTTGAGAGTATGAGTTGTATTTTGAGTTTGTAAGTTGTAAAATTATGATTTGAATGTAAAAAATTTGTTTGGTTATGATTTTTGAATAAATGTTGAATTGAGTTTTGAATTGAGTGTGAAATTGAGTTTTGAAAGTTTGATTTGACATGTGAAGTAAGAAAATTTGTTTGGTTATGAGTTTTGGAAAGAGTTTTCAAAACTTAATTCAAATTATTATAACCCATAACAAAACATACTGCTTTCACACTATTGAAAATTCTAATCAACACTCATAACCAAACTCTTTTTAAAATTCAATTAAAAAAATTTATTATTAACAGAAAATAACATTAATCAATTTTTTAATTGAAAATACTACAAAGGAAATAATTTTTTTTCAAAATAAATATTCAAAAAATTTAAATCATAAATATTTAAATAATTTAAATAATCTAAAAAAATTAATAAGTAAAAAATTAAAATAAATGTTCAAAAAATTTAAATCGTAAAAATTTAAATAATTTTAAATGTAAATATTTTAAATTTCAAAACAATTCTACACTCAAATCGTAATCAAACACATAAGACAAAACTTAATTCAAAAATTATTTTTAAAACTCATAACCAAACACATAACTCAAAATTTCATACTACTTTCACAACTCTACACTCAAATCGTAACAAAATACATAACAAAAAAAAATTAAATATTTAAAAAAAATTTAACCAAATACATAACAAAAAAAATTAATATATTTAAAAATATTTTTATAAAATAGAGTTTGAATTTATTTTTATAAAATATTTAAAATTTAAAAAATTAAAATCGTAATATTTTGAAATTAAAATATTTAAAAACATTCAAAAAATTAAAAAATTAAAAAAATCGTAACATATTTAAATATTAAAATATTTAAAATCTTAACAAAATTAAAATATTTAAATATTTGAAATATTTATAAAATTAAAATGTTGATTTAAATTGAGTTTTGAAAAGAATTTTGAATTATGTGTTTGGTTATGAGTTTTGAAAAGTAATGATTATGTTTTGAATTGAGTTTTGAGAAATGTGTGTAGAATTATGATTTGAAAGCTCAAAATAAACAACACACTCACATCAATGGTAAAACTATAATTTGAATTGCTTACCAAACAGAGCCGTAATTTTTTTTGCATAGATACTCTTATTTGAGTCAACACCCATTTTAAAAGCTTTTTCAAAACCATAAAAAATCACTCATTTTTCATTAAGGAATTAAATCCATTTCATAAATCAAACTGAAAATAAAAATATATTTCTAAAATCAAAACACATTTTATGAAGATCAAGTATTATTTTAGACCTAAAACTTTTTAAAAAATTAAATCCAAATCCAAATCCAAATCCAAATCCATAAGCTACCGAAAAAAAAAATTCAATTTAAGGGTTAGAAACACAGAGCCCAAATGTTGTCCATCAATTCGCCACTTATTCTCTCTCCTCCATCATCCACCACTCATACTCTTTCATGATTCAGTTGATAATTATATCAAGTTCAATAAAAAGTTCAATTGACATTTCTCCTCACATCCATCTGCCCTACAAATTTGACAGCGTCTGTAGCCATAAAGAGAAGGCGTTTGTTTCCGTCGTCGGCAGTTAGCATTGCGGCGAAAGAGAGCTCCAATTCGGGTTCCAGCAAGCATGCGATAATGAGAATCGCCGACTCCAGCGCGAAAACCTGTGGTTACGCCTCCATCAATGTTGAGAATTCGCGTCCCTCGCAGTAAGGGCCACTTCTGCTCACGCTTTGAGAAGATCTCCAGCGTCACTTGACTAAGTTCCATCGAAGAGAAGAAATCGATCACTTAATGTATCGTTTGATTAGGTGAATTTTGAAATTTGAAAATTGGGAGTGAGACTGAAAGAAAAAGAGATGAGAGTTTATAGTAAGAGTTCGATGAGCGTGGGTCTCTTTCTGTAGAGAGTGGGTGGGTGTGTTTTGAAATTTGAAATGTGGAAAAGTGAGGTGCGACAGATAAGGATGGGTAGTTGCAAAGTTTGTGGCTCTTGGGCAGGAAGTTTAGGTAGGGTGAGAGAGAAGGTTTTCATCTCTACTATCCATCTTCAAGCAGAAATGAATCATAACCGTTAAAATGTCCTAGTAGGACAAATGTCTCTAGGATAAATTCAAAAACCCTCTTCCCTTATTATATAGATACTATTTACCATACAAAATTATATATGTATTTTTTTTTTTTTGTGCTCTCAAATTGCTGGTTGCATTTTTCTTGTACCTTTCACAAATTTCCTTCATCTCTTTGCATTTTGCGTGTCGTGGCCTATATTCAATCTATAAATCTTCTATCATGCACTTGCATAAATTCGGTAGGAAATCAAGAATATAGTGACAAAGCCACAACAACTATTGTGTTGCCTTTAATAATAGAATAGATATATGGGTTGATTGGTTTGTTTATCATGTGAATATAGTGTGAAAGAAAAAAAAAAATTGATTGATGTTTTGATGTTTAGTATACTAACTTATTTTAATTAAAATTAAAAACAATATAATTGTAACTCACTGAGCAATTGATAAAATGGTTAATTGTTTATTCATATTGATTAATGTTTAGATGTGTAGTATACTAATTTATTTTAATAAAAAATATAGCATAAATGGATCAACAAGACAAAGAGCTAAGAAAGGACTTGATTATGTGGGATAGAAGGCAAAAGTTAGCTGTTGTTCAAGTTGTTTTTCATGTGGTATATTGTTATTTGTAGAGAAAAGATCACCTTAGGAAGTACGTGGACCATCTTATTAATTACTTAAAGATAGAAAAAGTGAGGATTGAACTAATGACACAACTTAAATTTATTAAGAATTGTCGTAATATCACCCATATGGGGCCGCAAGCATTTCAAGACTTGTGTCATGTACTTGAAAGAGATGGTGGTCTAAAACCTACAAAACGTGCAACAGTTGAGGAACAAGTTGCAAAGTATGTTTACATTTTGTCACACAACGTGATGAATAGAAATGTTTTGTTTTTATTTCGTCACTCTGGTGAGACTGTAAGTTAGCATTTTCATAGTTTTTTGAGAGCTCTTATATCATTGGAAGATTGATTTCTTTGCCAACCTAATGGTTCAGAAGTCCCTCCAAAAATACTCAATAATAATAGGTTCCATCCATATTTTAAGGTAAAAATTTCATATTACATTTCGCTTTAAATTTTTAGTTTTATTTCTATCTAAAACCGCCACATGATACATTTATGTTAGGATTGTATTGCAGCACTTGATGGAACACATGTTTGTCTTAAAGTATCTAGCA